GGGGGCAACACTGAGGGTTGCGATCCGTTGCCAGACACGGAAAAAGACAAAAAACAAAAAAAAACAATACAGTATAACTGTTTACATAGCATTTACATTGTATTAGGTACTATAAGTAATCTAGAGATGATTTAAAGTACACCTAGGATGTGCCCAGGTTATATGCAAATACTGTACCACTTTATATAAGGGACTTGAGCATACTGTCACTAACGCAGGTCTGCCGCAAGGTGACTTACTTGGGCTCTGAGAGGCAGCACCTGCCATGCAGACTTCCCTTGCTCCCCTCCCTCACTGCTTCTGGAAGCTGCCATCACCATGTACCCTTTCCCCAAAGTTTATCCCTCCATAACGAGCCATGAGAAAGAGAGTCAAAACCGGAACCATTTTTAAAGATCTGCCAGGGTCACTACAAAGGCCTCTCTGCTGCAAGGCCCCCTGGTGTCCTCAGAGTTTCACTGGGATCGCGCATCGCTAATTTACTGAGTTGAGGACACTGCTGCCTTCTACAAGGTGCATGCATGTGACATGCAAGGGACAGAGCTTTCCACCCGCGGAGAGGACAAGGTCCAGCCCCGGCACACTCCTTCTAGCACTATGAACCCAGGCATGTTGCTTGACTTCTCTGGTTTTATTTCTATATTCATAACTGCAGCAATCTTTCTCGATTCTTTATGAGATTATAAAAATATATTGCAGGTGCTGCTTATTGCACATGCCAGGAATGCTTTCCTACTGTTTTTATTTTTCTTAACATATTTCAAACATACAAAAAAGACACAGTATAATACCCACCCATCAACACCCAGATTTGTCAAGCTGCCTCCTGGCTTCTTAAAAAATTCAACCGAGAGCAAACAGAAGTCCCTGTGGGACCCCCTCCCCAGTCCCGTCTCCCTCTCTCTCAGAAGATGACTGAGACCTTGAAGTTGGTCACACTTTGCAATATGTGTGTGTCCCCCCAATAATGCACTGCGTTGTGTAGTGTTTAAGATTTTACATGAACTGAATCACACTGTGAATCAAAAAAAAAGAGTCATCCTTATTGCAATAGGAGTCTATGCTTAAAGAAAACTTGTACACACTCTTAGCATTTTAGAAACGCAGCTGCTGCCTTAGTTGCATTTCCAGCGTTAGTGGACTTGTGCACAGCTGTTACAAGGCATACTATGCAAAGCGACATACACCTGAAAAGCTTCCGGGTCCAAGTGTCGCCAGATATGATGCTTTAACAAATCTGAAGATTTCTTTGCAAAAAGTGTGACTTCTCTTCTGGCTAAAGAGAACAATTTTCTCTCAGGAAAAAAATAATTCTAAATAAAGCTTCCTAGTAGACAGCCCACTCACCTGTGATAACAGATCCATCTGAGCCTGGACCGCTTCCTAAATACTGGTATTCCGTAAAACTAAAGCTTCCAGAACTGTCCTCACCAAAGGATTGAGAAATCTCTTGAATGTTTCCCATTTCTTGTAGGAATTCTTCAGCTAATGGGCTTTCCAGATCATCAGCCTTGAGCGGGGAGAGTGGGCAAAGCAGGCTTTCTGTGTCCACCATCGTGATCAGATAGTGCCGGGCACACAACTAAGCCCCAGTCCCCTGGGAGGAGAGAGAAGTCACTGGTGAAACTGACGCAGAACATGAACCAGTCTGTTTTGATGAAAACATCATCCATCACTGAAGATATACCTGAATTCATAATCTCAACAATAATACTGCAGATGATCCTTTCTAGGCTTGGCTCTTGAGAGGAACATTAAGAAAATGAAAAATCTTTAAAGAACAAAATGTTTAAGGAGCTGAAGCCTATTAAACCGGGACTGATTCCTTCATTACTGATCGCACATGATGCGCAGTGCTCAACACACTGTCCTCGAGGGGCTGGGGAAGTCCCTGCTCCTGGAGCATCCCTGCTAGTGGGGACACAGATGGTGAACACACAGATATATGTGTGGAATGTCCAGTGGTGATACCAGGTGGAGTGGATGGGGACAGATGACACTTTATATGGGGACACAGGGGAAGGCCTCGCTGATGAGGGGATGGTAGAGATCTCAGGGAATGAGGAAGCGAGCTGCACAGGTGTCTGGGGGATAATGTTCCAGCAAAAGTAATGCCGAGTGCAGAGGCTCCAGGTCTGAGACATGCTGGCGCATTCTGGGGACAACAGGAGGCCAGTGTGGCTCAGGCCAGGGGGGCGGGGTGAGCATCAGCGTGCGGGTCAGGCACGGTACTTGCTCCTGAATGTTCTCCTGGTACCTATGGGGGTAACTCACGTAGGGAGCCCTAGAAAATAATGGTATAGGGCCGGCCCGGTGGCGCACTGCTACAGTGCGCCGCTTGGGAGCGCAGTGGCGCTCCCGCCGAGGG